GTATATAGGAGTTCACAATAAACAACAGACTTTTTTATCAGAACCAGAACCAGGCAGGAGTCTGAACTGAAGCTGTTTTATGTTCATTTTGTTTGTTTGTCAAACATTTTGTAAGAAGTTAAGTTTCTGCTCTGTATGTTGGTTTAATCAACATAAAATGTCAGTTTCATTAGATTTGTGTGGATTTAGTTCCTCCTCTCAGATAAAACCATGGATTTGTCTCTGCAGCTTCACTCTGAGGTGGAGAAGCCACTGCTGACCTTCAGAGGAGACAACTTCAAGAAGGACCTGAAGAAGTTCGACCACCACATCGCCGACCTCAGGAAGCAGCTGGCCAGCCGCTTCGCCAGCGTGGAAAAGGTTGGACAGCAGCTCCTACGCTCCGTCACACGGTTCTCTGCCTCCCACCGGCTGAATCAGCTCATGAATGGACGCCGCCTCTGTCCTCTCTCATCTCTGAGGGGGTTTATTTTCCCGGCCTGCTGTGGTGGGCGGCAGCATCCACAGCCAACAAATCACTTGAAACGTGTTGAAGGGAAACAAAGCGAGCAGCCATTTTAGCCCTCAGTGTTGAGTTCTTAAACACATCATGACCTTGGAGAAGAAACAGTCAATAAAATGGATTTAACGCAGATTAAAGGGTGAAAGCAGCTGAGAGCAATGAGGGGCTGAGAACAGGCGTCAGGCAGGGTCAGCAGGTCTGAGGGTTCTGGTCCTGTGTGTCTGCAGGCCCGGAAAGCCCTGGCAGACCGGCAGAAGGACCTGGAGGTGAAGACGCAGCAGCTGGAGATCAAACTCAGCAACAAGACAGAGGAGGACATCAAGAAGGCTCGACGGAAATCCACACAAGCAGGTCAGACGGTGACGTCACAAACCTGACAACCCTTTAAACTACACGATACTCGTTTTTATTTTGTTAAATACAGTGTTGTTTAAAGTACCACAAAATGATAAACCAAAGAACAGCAAATCTCACAGTTTTCACTGCAGAAGTCATTCAGACCTTCAGAACTTGTCACTTGTTGATTTTATCTTCAGCTACATTTTGAAAACAGATTGTCGTCATAAAATTTTATTTATTTATATTTTATTTTATTATCTAAAGGGGATGGAAATGTTTGTGAAGCCATGTTTTTGTACTTGTTTGAAAGAAAGCTGTACGTTAATCCGAGGTATAGGACTGTGGAACGGTCTGGAAGATGATCTTAAAAATGATAGATGAGTGTATATCTTTAAGAGACACATAAAAGCTAGTTTTTTTGAAGATATACAAAAAGTAAAATGTGAAGCTATTTGATTTGTTGTTTGAGTTGATGTTTTTATGTTTTTCGTGTTATTTAGTATTGTTTTGTAGATTATGTTTCGTTTGAATATATTCTGGGTCGAAAAGGGGCAGACATAAGATTTATTCTTCTTCTGCTACCTTTCATTTTATTTTGATTTGTATATCTTTTTGGTTTATTTTTATTATTTTTTACAGTATTTTTTAATTAATTTAATAAATTTTTGAATTGAAAACTGAATTG